AAGAAAAAATGAGAAGAACAAAGATGTGCCATGTAGCGGAACCTAATAATCTCAATTAATTCAACTACTATATGCAATAACATGAACTAAGACAAATATCAGCAAGTATGCAAAAGGGGATAGGGGAATTGGAGGAGCAGAGAGGGAAGGGGATGAGGTTTTAAAGAAGGAAACAACCTGTAACATGTACATGTAACTACTTCCCAAGACGACTGTAAACTGCATGAATTACAAAGATGCACTAATAAAATTATTTTTAAAAGTATAAACACTGATTAAAGAAGTAAAAAATGATTCAAACAGATGGGCGTGGTGGCACACACCTGTAATCCCAGCACTTGGGAGGCCGAGGCAGGAGGATTGTTGCGAGTTTGAGGCCAACCTAGGCTACAAAGTGAGCTCAACGCCAGCCTGAACTGTACAGTGAGACCCTGTCTCAAAAAGAAAAAAAAAAAAAAAAGATTCAAACAATTGGAGGTGCATTAGCATTCTCCAGGAAAAAAAAACCAATGAAACGGATGGATGGATAGATAGTTGATAGAGATAGAAGATAGATAGGCAGGTAGATAGATAGGATAGGATAGGGTAGGATAGGATAGGATAGGATAGGATAGGATAGGATAGGATAGGATGGGATGGGATGGGATGGGATGGGATGGGATGGGATGGGATAGATAAAGCACTTTATAAAGAGAATTGGCTTAAGCAATTATAGAGGCTAAGAAGTCCCACAATATACCATCTGCAAGCTGAAGACCCAGGGAAGGTGCCAATCTCTTCTGGAAACCCTCACAAATGTACCCAGAAATAAAGTTTTACCAGCTATCTACATATCTCTTAATCCAATAAAATTGACATCTACTATAGTTTGTGTCTGGATGTCCCCCCACAGCCTCATGCAGTCATGGGGCAGGCTTCTAGGGTTTATGATCAATTCATGGCCCAATGCTGGGATTATGGGTGTGAGTGTTACACCCACCCTGGAGTGGGGTAGCTTGCATACAATATAAGGAAGGAAAGAGGCTTGCCTGTTACCACTCCTCCCTTTTTGCTCTTGTTGCTTTTGCTGTTTCCCACTGCCATGAACTGTTGCTCTCTGCCATGTGCCACTCTCTCTTGGAGCCAGCCAAGTATGGACTGATACCTCCACAAACTATGAGCTAAATAAACCTTTCCATCCTTAATTCTGAGCATCAGATATTTTATTTAAGCAATGAGAGAAAAGTAACCGAGGCAACATCTAAAATTAATCATCGCAGGGAGATATTCTGTGTTCCTGGATTTGAAGACTCAACATACTAAAATGTCATTTTTGTGAAAATTGATATATACATCTAACACAATTCCTTTCAAAATCCTAGACATTTTTTGTACCTATGTGTAAGATTTCTAAAAGTTATAGGCAGACAAAAAAGAGAACTAGAAGATTCAAAACAATTTTGAGAAAAGAAGATTAAAGTGAGAAGAATGACCATACCTGATTTAAAGACTAATTATATAGATGCAGCAATCAAAAATTTGTGAGAGTGACAGAAGGATAGATACATAGGTCAATGGAACAGAATATGTAGCCTAAAAACAGCCCGCATGCAAGCACAGACAACTGGCTTTTCAAAAGGGTAAAAATAATATGACTGCTTCTTCAATGGAAAATTCTTTTAATCTGAAGTTTCTAAGTACTCATAAACAAAAAATGATCCTTGTCCTAACCCTTACACCTTATATAAAAGCTACCTCAAATGATCATAAGTTCAGATATAAAATATACAACTATAAAACATGTAGGAGTGAATAGAGGAGAAGATCTTTAGGACCTAGGGCATGATGAAGCATTCTCAGATGTGACATCAAAAACATTATCAAGTGTTAAGAATTTATATATTGGAGTTCAAGTAACTTAAAAACTTTTACTCTAGAATGCCATGTTAAGGGATAGGAAAAAAACTTCAGACCAGGTGAAAGTATCTGCAAACCATACGTCTGACCAAGGACTCATCTCTAGAATGTATCTGAAAATTCAACAGTGAAATCAATAAGTCAAAAGTCCTATTTTTAAAAATTTTATTTCAAAGAGAATAAAAGTAAAACAAAATTTCAAAACAATAGCAGAGTAACAATGATTAATACATTGTGTACTGCTATCTTTAAATTAGTTACTCAGAGTACAAAATATATGCATTTAATTGTCCAAACAATATTAGCACAAACCTTTCTTTTCAATGAGCTAAGAGAAATTAGTAGTATAATAAGCTTAACTATCTTGTATGTATAGACATATATATATTTTTTTTTTCTCCTTCCTTCTTTTCTCCTTTCCCCTATCCCAGTTTCTCTTTAGAACACCTTCTTCCCATTTTACAATATCTATTGTACATTTTGGATCTTATTTATTCTCTCAGCTTCTCACAGTAGGGAGACAACACAATGTTTACATATATGAGTCTGGTTTATTTCACTTACGAGTGTGGTCTCGAGTTGCATCCATTTACATATAGAAGTTCTATTTTAAACGGGCAAAAATTACATAAAGAAACTTTTCATTGATGAGAATGTACAGATAGAAAAACAAACATATGAAAGGTGGCTAACATAACCAGACAGTAGGAAAGTGCAAATTAAGGCCACAATAAGATATTACTGTACAACTAATAATACACTTATAATAAAACATAATTGCTGTACCAAACACTGGCTAAGATGTGAAGAAACTGAATTTGTCATACACTGGAGGTGGAAATATAAAATGGTACAGACAACACTGTAAAAGACCTTGGCTGCTTCTTAAAAAGAACTAAACATGTACTTATTATATGATTCAACAATCGCATTGCCATGTATTTATCCCAGAAAAAAATGAAAACATGTATATATAAAAACCTATGCATGAATTAATATTCATGGGTTCTTAGTATACCAGATTTCTCAGTAATAACCATACACTACACCTAAAATGTCTTACAAGTGAATGGTTAATTAAGCAAACTATGTGCATCTATACAATGAAATACTACTCAGTCATAAAAAGAAATGAATTACTTATATATGAAACGACTTGGAGGATTTCAAAGGTATTATGTTGAGTGAAAAAAGTCAAACTAAAAATGTCACATACTGTAGAATCCCATTTATACAACATTCTTAAGAGACAGAGAAGGGATTAGCATTTGCCTGAGATTTGGTATCGTCAGAGTGGGTATTACTATGAAGGGGTAACATGAGGGAGTTGTTTTGGTCACTTTCCTAAGCACTGAGACACAACAGCTAACACCCATAACTTACAGGGGAAGGAAGTTCATCTTGGCTCATGGGTTTTAGAGGACTCCATTCATAGTCCAAACATGGCCCCAAAGTAGAAGGGAATGATGGAAGGGTCTAGTGGAAGACAGCTACTCACATTATGGCAGCCAAGAAGCAGAAAGCAAGGGTAGCCAGGGTGGCAAATATACTCTTTCAGGTCATACCCACGGTGACTGCCTCTTCTGAGCAAGCCTACGAGCACACTAGGCTATGGGTTCATCAGTTGGCTCATCCACCATGATCCAATAGTGCCCCACATGATCCAATCACCTTTTACCTTCTAAAAGGTAAAAGGTAAAATGTGTTCCGATCTCAGAACACATGAGCCTTTTAGGGCATATTCCATATATACAAACCATAAGAGGAGACTTTATTGTCATAGAACTGTTCTTCATCTTGGTTATGATGGTGGTTACACAAGCAGAGAATCAACATAATGAAAGCTGGGAATGTCATAAGACATGGCCATACATAAGATTCATGTAGTTGTTACACTGAAGACACTGATTATTAAGCTGTCCCAAATAAGAATGTAGTCATATTAAGGTGCTGAGGAATAGGCATTCCCATGTGATATATACCAGTTGGGGCCATTATTTCCCCATCTTTGGTTTTAGAAAGTCAATAAAAAATACCTTAGAATGAAAAGTCAGGAAGTAGCAATATAAATATTATATGAAATATGGACATAAAATCTAAAATAATCAGTTAAAAGAGTTGAAAGTGGTTGCTTCTGGGAGGTAGAAAATGCTGGGAGGCTGAGGGTACTTCAGTTTTCATGCATAAAACTTCTAGAACTATTTGGTTCAAACTGTGTGCATATGTAACTTTTATAAAGGTAAAAACTAATTGTAGATCATTAGATTAATGCCATAAGAGTTACACATAAAAAGAATATCCATACTGGCAGAACTAGAAAGAGAATTTTATAGCCTTGCTGGATATAAAACTGATGTTCAAAGCTCCATTGCAATCCTAGCCAGGAATCAAAAACCACTGGAAAAAGTAATAATAAGTTTTGAAGATTTCATAAATCTCAAAGCATTAAAGATGGCATCAATGAAAGATGTGTAAGATCATTATCGGTGAAAAGACTATAAAATTCTGAATTGAAAGTAATAAAATATCCTAAATAAATAAAGGTACACCATATCCATGTATGTGAATACTGTATCAGAAATACATCAGTTTGCCCAGTATATATTTTTTCCAAATGAAATATATATATATATTTGATATAATAAAATAATAATTCTAAAAAGATTTTTCATAAAACTTGACAAAGTGAATCTAAAATGCTTTGGGGCTAAGAACAGCTATAATAATTTTGAACTAAATAAAATAGGATGACTTTCCAAAAAGAGACAAAACATTATAAAGCTATTCAAAGACAGTATAGATATTGACAGAGATAGAAAAGTAGGTTAGTAGGGAAAAATGCTCATCAAAATAACCCTAGATTTTAGAAATTTAATATATGGGAATAATGGCAATGGATATCAGTGAGTGCTAGATAACTTACCTTGGAAAAAGAGATCCTTACAAAGCACTCATACATCAAATAAAATACAGTTAGCTTAAATGAAAAGGAACTAACTTGATCAAAAATAGAAAATATCTTTGTATAACAATAATTCTCAAGTGCTGCCAATACTGCAGCTTTGTGGACCACACTAGAAGTAAGAGAAGAAATCTTTCACATGTTCCCAAAGAAACAAACATAATATTTAAGGCAAAATTATACTCACAAAAACACTGAATAAAACTTCAATATCCATTATAGGAACAATTAATGAATTGTGACATATTCTACAATAGAAGACCATACAGTGCTGAAAAATTAGTAAAACAGAGTTATATGTGTCCATAAGAATAAATTCACAGGCTGTGTTAAGCATAAAAAAGTTCCAAAATGCTGTATACAAAATAACAGCATTTATAGAAAATGTGCAAATAATACTATATATTGTTTGTGAGTTTATACAGATATAATAAAGATATAAAGTCACACTTCAGAAGGCTAAACACCAAATTCAGGACAAAGATTTTAAAAGGAAATGAATAACATAGTAGCAAATTGTTAATATTTTACAAGATTAGGATGGTAGGTCCAGGGATATTTTTATGTTGATTTTTATACATTTCAAAATAGAAAAATGCTTATTCAACATATCAGTAATTTCAAATTTTCTATATGTTAAAAGCCTGGATAAAAATGAAATTCCTCTGAAAATTAAGGATTGTTCATGATCAGAGCAGAGCAGATATCTCTTTCTCCCAATTAGCGTCATTCTCCTTTGAATGGAAGCAGAGCCAATTGGACTTTCAGTATATCAGAGTCCAGACATCCTCTAGTCCCATGACCCAAGTCCATCCTTGGCCCAGTCCAAAAGCCCTGAGGGAAGGAACATGAGAAGATGGGGAGAGAGAACGTCTGTGGTGGGGGTGGCAGAGAAAAAGGTAGAGTCTTGGGTCCTTGGGGCTTCTGTTCTCCACTTTAGCCCTTGGAAGAGGGTGGGAAGCAATGCATCACTCGCAGGGCATGCAGGAGCTGTAGGGAAAACATCACTAGTTCATTTGTTTACTCATTCACATCTTAATTCCACATACAGTATATTTATTGAGCACCTGCTATTGTATGTGGCAGGTGTTCTGCTTGGTCTGAGTCCATGGTACAAGTCAAAAATAAAACCACTCAATACAACCCAACACTTCTCTCTGGGTTCTGAACTCCTTACATAACCACATTTATCTCTGCCACCAGTCAGAACCTCTAAGTATTTGGATACGTTCTCTTAGTTGATTTTAGCAATACTTTCTTATTTGTTGCAAATATATATCATATGAAAACTGAAATACATAACAGTGTATGGGAAGAACCCTTTGGAGGTTTTGTCTTCACTTTCATTCTACTCCCATACTGTAGGGTCCCACCTCCAGGGTCCCAAGGACATAACTTGAAGATCTTCCAAATCCAAGGTTCTACAGAATGCACAGAGTTGAAAGCCACTGAGAATTCTGAGACATTTGGAGAGTGAAAAGGAGCATATTCATAACTGCTTATGGAAGCTGGTTCGCACTCTTAGGTATCCTCATGGGCACACTGTGACTTTGTGAACTTGCTCTGAATTCCTGTTACCAGTCCATGACCATGGCCTTGACCTCTCTTCTGAAGGACTAAGACCCACCCCAAACTCACCTGTCATAGGTTCCACCACCTATAGATGTAGGTGACTGTGAAACTCAACACAAACAGGACTTTGAAGCCCAGGAGAAAGGCCACAAAGATGAAGGCAGGTGCATCTTGACCTAAATGCCACAGAGCAGAAAAAGTCATCAAATGGGGCTCTGTGAGTTTAGTGTTATCTCCGAAGTCAGGTAGCCAGAAAGTTGCAGAACCAGCAGTGGTACCTGATCTGATTGCAACCCTGAGCTCTTTTTTTATTTTTATTTTTTGTTCTCTCAGAAAAAAAAGAGATGATTTTGACCTGTGAGGCTTTGAATTTCACATAGTAAATGCTGATTTGAATATCTGACAAACACTAGTCATTGAGGATGGCACCCATTGTACAAATAACTTCAGAAGTACAGAGCTGAAAGCAATCACTTCCATTTCTCTAAAGTCTTTGGTCATTTAATGTAACCTTTGCAATTACAGTCTGAGTCTCCACCCTCCATGCTTCTGGTGCAGACAGGAGATCCTCACTCAGAATGCCTGTGAACTGCTATGACCGGGGTTCTCACGTGGGCCCTCCCTGTGCGTGCCCTGTGTCAAGCAAGGTCCTAAAACAGACACTCCATGAGCTGCTGGCACCTTGGCTCTGGTCTGGGCTTTACTTGTGCCCTGACCTCCCGGGGGTCCCAGACACAGGCAGTCCATGATCACCACCAGTGCATCAGGTGTCTAGCTCCTGTGTGTGTCCTGAGCTGCCTGGAGACACAGAATCAGGTGGTCCACAAACTGTTGAACCTGTAGTTTGTGTCTGGGTTTTACCTTTACCCTGAACTGCTTGGGGACACAGGACCACTGGTCCAAGACTGTGCTACCAGTGCAACCCAATTCTGGGTCCTAAACATGCCCTGAGCTGGATCAGATGGTCTGCCATCAGCTGACATCACAGCTCATGTCTGAGACCTGGAAGAACTAGATACACTTCATCATCTGCCAGACAACCCCAGACTAAACAGTGCATCTCAGAAGACACTGAGGGGCAAGCATGACCACCAGGAAAACTAGGGACACTAGCAACCTTTGCTGAGCTGCCAGGAAAGAGGGAGACTGAGTTTCTGCATGCGGTATCAAACAGCACAAGACAAAAGACTAAAACACAATCTCAGAACTCTACCCCACTCAAAACAAGTTCAGGAGACATCGACATAGGAAAACTTGGTAAACACACACCTGAAATTGCTGAAATGATTGCAAATGAAAGTAAAGAAACAACTCCATCAGGCCATAGAAGAGATCAGATTAGAAACAATCTCTCAGGCAAAAAATGAAATGACAATAAAATGAAAGGACTGCTGAGCACATCTAAAGAAGAAACATATAAAAAAAATAGATGAACATAGGCAACAGATGGAAACATAAAATGAAAAATATAGGAATGAATTAGAATGCATGAACCAGTTTCAAAGAGAAATCCAGGAAATCAAAGCTTTCACTGAAAGCTGGCAAAACTGCTTGAATGAAGCCAAAGATAGAATTTCAGATATTGAAGACAGAGTGGCAGCTAGCAATCAGGAAAGAAAGGATCTCTTAAAATCAAAGAGGAACCAGGAAAAATCAATTCAACAGCTGCAAGATGAGACAAAGAGGAATAATGTACAACAAATAGGAGTCAATGAAATAGCAGGACACAACACAAATGACATAAAAAGAGTATTTGCAGAAATAATAGCA